GCAAAGTAGGTTGTCCAATTTTAGCTCATCTGGAAGCTTTATATGACTAACAATTTCTGTGATTAAAGTAAATATAGATATCATTGCTGTTAAGAATGAAAAGCAGAGAAATGTTTTCTTCAGTGCTAGGGTTTGAACTCGGGACTTCCTGTTTGGTAGGCAGGTGCTTGGAAAGAATTTCTGCTCCTAAAGAAGGAATGTGATATAGTTTATATTCTGTATCAGTAGTATGGAGAAACTTAGCCTAGCAACCAAGTATTGTGCAGATAACAAGAGTACTTAGGCTGAGGAATACTTTGCTTCTAAGAGGTCATTATAACTGGTGTGGTGGGTGGAGGTGTTTATGAATTGGGCTGGCAGGATATCTCAGTGGTTAGAGCATGTGTGTGGCTCCAGTTTCGGCTCTTACGTAACAAACAAAACAAAGCAACAACAACAACAAGAACCTCGTTCATGTTGTGGTTAAATGTACATACTTAATACTTACTCTCTTAACAAGTTTTCAGCCTCACCTCGCTCTAGTGGGTACTCCATAGGAGTATGCCATGTCACCACCGATTTTAACCTTCTTTTGTTGTTAAACTAGCATACCTTAGTTGTACAAAAGGGCTTGCATTGTGACATTTCCACATAGGTATACAATGTATCCCATCAGCCTTACTTCCTCTGTTTCCCTCCTTGTCTCTCTCTCTTCTTTGTAAAATAATTTCCCCTGGTTTCTTTGTCCTATTTCCGTACCTGTATGTAAGAGAGAGTCATGTTAATGCTCTTGCTTACAAAACTCATCAGCACTTATGCTCCCGTGTTGAATTGTAGAAGGAGGGTTGTCAATTGGTGGGCAGAGAAAAGTGGCCCCTGGGCAGGGCAGATAGTGCTGTTCCTTACCAGTGTTTAGTGTTACTATGCCTGAAGACCCAAAGAAATAACACTATCTCTTCTGAGGGGCATCACAGCTGCTGCATCATGCGTTACTTCCCTCTCTTCCTCCCTCTCCTCCCCCCCCCCTTTTTTTTTTTTGCTAGTACTGAACTCAGGACCTTCTCTTGTTTGGTTGCTCTCTAACCTTATTGCTTACCTTGTGCTCTACCACAGCAAAAGGTTTCTCTAGTAAAAGCCTTTTATGTGTCCACTATTGAGTTTTAAACTTAGGGCCCTATGCTTGTAAGCAGATATTCTCCACTGAGCCACACCTCCAGTTGCATTTATATTTTATGTGCACATGAAGCACTGAAGCATTCTGGGACTGTAGGTAGGAACAGGGCTGATTTGGAACAGAGAAAGCATTGTAGGAATGTGGGTAGGGATAGCGCTGTAATTTGAAGAGCTCTGGGCTTTGTACTTCCAAACCCACCCAGCAACATGGAGAAGGCAGCTAAAGAGCGCCAGAGGGCAGAAGCTCTGGAGAGGTGAGACTGGAATGGCGAGAGACTAAGAAAAGTCTTAAGGTGAAAGCTGGTAAGCCCTGGTCTCCGACGCATTCCCCAGCACCGCCAAAGGCTAAGAGCTGGGCTTTGGAACTGTCTCACTAGCTACTGTCTGGGTTGCTGGCATTTCTAGCTTCTTGAAATAAGCCTCTAACTTGAGTACCTAGAGCTGTACGTCTCTGCTTTGAAAGCTTGGAGGGGTAAGCCTTCGTTTCTCAGGGCAACAGCCAGAAGCTGCTGGCTTTGAGAGCCCAGATCTTGCTTCAACCAGTACCTGGATCTGTGTATCTATCTCTTTTCCAGCCTGGAGCTGTACATCTCAGCCTTTTAGGGTTTGGGGAGTTAGGCCTCGGGCTGGCCTAAGCTCAGGGCTGCCAGCAGTCAGGGACCTAGTCCTTGTGTGTTCACAGTGGATGTCTGAGTACAGCAGAAGTACCATGGCCAGCTCTTCCTGACTGTGGGTAGTGCTCTCTGAAGTCGCTGGGTTTCAGTGATCAAGATGCTGCATAGTTTAAAAACTTCAAACCAAGTAAAGTTGAACGTTTCTACTGGGCTGCATTTTAAAAGTGAGGAAAGAAAATTACTTTTTCTTGTTTATTTGGAAGACATTTGCCAGTTGGAGTCTCAAAGAAGATTGAGTTTGGTCGACCTTTAATTGTGCACCAAAAGGTTACTGCAGAAGATAACATACGGGAAATGTCATAAAGAAGAAAATTGGAAGCTCAGTTGCAGAAAACTGTGGAGAAGCTGGCATTCTCCCAATTAACTGAGTGCTTGAAATAAATAGTTTGGTTTTAAAGAAACAGTTGTAGGTTTCAAGGTCTGGATGATGGTAGTTCATAGGAAAGCGGGTTGGGGTGGGGAATAAACCTCATGTGACTTGTAGAAAATACTTAACTATTCGTGTTCTTACATTTTTTACTGATTAAAAGGTTCAGCAAGGCAGGAGTAGAGGATTTATTAACCTAGTATTTTATATTAAGACATTGAAAGAAAATGGGTAAAGATGAATTATGTTCCTAGGAGTCAGTCTTGAGCTATTGATTGTCACAAAATATTTCTCCACCTAGGGACAGCACGGTTGTGTGTGTGTGTAGGGGTGCTCTCATGTGGTTAGAGGTCACTGCCCGCGAATGATCTTGTCTGCCTGAAGAACCACGACAGGGTTGCATAACTAACTCATCAGCAACATAAAAAGTGGTTATGAGAATAAAGGAGATAGCCGGAAGTGCCAAATGCTCATCTTTCCAAGCATTCAGCTGTTCAGTAGTTGGGTGCATTTTTAGGTTTTATTACTTTGCCTTTTTTTCCTTTTGGTCTGGATGAGAAAGCTTTTTACTCAAATGATAACCACGAGGAGTTTGGAGATTTCGTTCTTTATCAGATGCAATGTTTGCTGGATGTAGGATTCTATGTGGACACGTGTTTTCTTTTAACATATTAAGTTAAACCATTCTACTATCTTTGGCTTTCACTTTTCCCACTGAGAAGTCAGCTGTTAGTCTTAACCGTAATGGCCGTAATGTAACATAGCCACCCTGCTCTGAGCTCCTTTTAAGATGCGGTTTGATTCCGTTTTACTGAGGAGTGGGGATTTAAAAAATTTTTTTATCCTTCTTGAGTTTCACAGACTTATTCAATTTAAAGATGACTATCATTTATTAATTCTGGAAAGCTCTGTTGTTTTTTTCTTTTTCTCCTTTTCTTTTTTCTTTTTTTTTTTTCTGGCCAGTCCTGGTGCTTGAACTCAGGACCTGCGCTCTGTCCCTAAGCCTTTCTGTGCTCAAGGCTAGCGCTCTACCACTTGAGCCACAGCACCACTTCCCACATTTTCAGAGTAATTTATTGGAGATAAGAGTCTCATGCATTGAACTGCAATCCTTAGATCTCAGTCTCTTGAGTAGCTAGGATTACAGGCGTGAGCCATTGGTACCCAGCTTAATCTCAGTTATTAGTGTTTAAAATTTCCATTCTTTTTCTCTCTGGGACTGCAGATCTTCTTAGCCAGTTTTCAGAGCTTTCTGACCTATGCATTTTATTTAAGTACATAATGTATAGTGACACTTGCAGTTTATATTGTTGGCAAGAATGTGTTAGGCCAAGCACATGAAGAACACAGTTCAAGTCAGGGTAGGCCATGTGTTGGTGACAAATGTGAGCCTCAGTGACTTGTAGCAGTGTGGTGCTTCTGCTCCACAGCCCACCTGCAGCCTTGCCTTGTGTTACTCTGCGTGGCCTGCAGACTGGACTTCCGCTTGGTATAGCAGAGAGGGAGAGGGCTGGGACGGCCTCATGATTATAGGCTTTGCTTAGATGCGATGCACACCACTCCTGGCCAGATCAAGTCACATGGCTGCGCCTGAGTTCCGCCGGTCGGTAGGTTCCGCAGGTGAACAGTTAGTGAGCAGCCCTCCGTGAGTGAGGACGCACTGGTGTACGCACGACCACCCGCTTGCCATTCTGCGTTCCTTCTACAAACTCTGCAGAGCTTTCAGCGAACTAAGATATCGTGCTACCTGGTTTAATGACAAACATGGGGAAAAAACGAGTCAGGCTTCTTCTCTTAGCACGACCACATGTAAAACTGTTTATTAAATAAAGAATGATTACATTACCAAAATAGTTAAAGCCCAATGGATGTTTGCTTGACACACAGTGTATAGGACTGTGTTATTCCGTGGATGCATACCACTGGCACACTGCTTGACACACAGTATATAGGACTGTGTTACTGCGTGGATGCACACCATTGGCACACTTGGGCACCAGTCCCTGAGTGTCCCCACAGGAATGAGGTGGGGATTGTGAATGGTGGCCCAGGTTTGAAGGCTCAGGGTCTTTGTGGATTGAAAATGAATCCAGGAGAGGCTGAGTATCATCTCTGGACCTTCAGGAGCTGCGTCTCCACCCAGAGCAGCCTGCGTGTGATGGGAAGCGCGGTGTGCTTGCTTGTGAGTCATGGCTGGCAACCTCGCTTGCTGTCCTCAGTCAGCAAACACCCTCCGGAAGAGCGGGTTCTCTCCATTCAGCTAGTAAGGTGACAGGGTCTCGTAACCAGGCTTGCTGCAGTGAACAAGTATGAGATGGAATTAAAACCAAGTAAGCCACGTGTGAAGACCCACCTGCACTCCACAGTTTATGTCTCACTCTAGGGTTCATTTGACCGTATATCCTCCCTTCACGCACTGCACTCATCAGACATGGTAAGCTGCAGAAACCAGCGTACCTCCCAGGAAATACTACTGCATGCACGTCATCAGCCAGAGCTCAGTATTTGTTAATAGGAAATAGTGCTGCATGCACGTCATCAGCCAGAGCTCAGTATTTGTTAACAGTTGTCGTTTTTCCACTTACGGTAAGTACAACCACATACATCTTTTTGGAGTCTCATATTTTCTCATCCTTTGGGTGTTAGAAACTGTCACATAGTTGAACAGAGTGGCTATACCATTTACCTTCCCTTCCATGACATGAGAATTCCTGTCTCCACACCCTCACCAACATTGTCTTTTCTCCTATTTGAACCATCCCAGTGCCATGAGGCTTTTAAACAATGTAATGTATCTCTTTACCTAGATAAGTGATGCCGAGAAGACTCACCGAGACCAGGACATTATTGCCTCGTCGTCTGGGGGGATTAAGCTGGACTTGGAGTCGGTGTATAAGGTATGTGAACATTTAAAACATTTCCTAGGATTTGTTTAACATGGACTACAGAGCTTGATTTGCACCTGTAGTTCAACCTTCCCAACATCCTGCCCCCACCACAGCTGTTCCCCCTCCAGCACGCACCCCCTTACCCGAAGGGTATGGGACACTGATGCTGGCCCTCTTAACCACCGCTGCCATGCTGCCAAAGAAATGCTCGTCCATTGAGGGTTGTGCCATGCACAGCTCTATCCTGTAGAGCTGTTTGCTTTTCTGTAGGTGTCTCTCTTGCTTTTCTCACCTAATTAAACTTTATGGGGACAGAGACTGTGTTGTGGTTACAAAAATCAGTACAGTTATTGAAAGCTACCTGTTTAAAAGATATATGATGTGCCTATAGTGTAAAATGTCATGTACAAAGAATCATAGGCATCTAGAGCTCACTCTTCCCTAAAGCTTGGATTAATAGCCAATTTGGAGATTAGGTTCACCTGATTTTTAACCTTATTTTAAAAAGGAGAAAGGCAACTTGGAGAGTAAGGATCATTTTCATAGTTAACTAATAAATTCTGCTCATGTTTTAAAATTTTTTAGTATAGTTCAGAGTTTGTAAAAATCTGCATTTTTTAGAAAAATACATAAATATTTATTTTAATAAAATTAAATGCTTATTACTTCATAGGGTGGAGATTAGCTTTTTCACTATATTTCTCTAGGAAAGGAATGGAAACGTAATGAAAGAATTTGGAATTACTTTGCTTCCAAGTAATTTTCAGCACTGAGACTGTTGTATTCAAATTAGAATTCTGTTCTATGCATGAGGCAAATTTAACATGCTTAGAAATTTTGAAGTAAAAGTTTGAAATCCTGGGCATTCCAATTTGTAAATCTGTAGGTTAGGAATAAAAGAAAGCATTCTAATTTGTCTGTTTATTGTTACTGTTGTTATTGCTGTTGTTGTGTTGTTATTGTGCTGGTCCTGGGGCTTGAACTCAGACTATGGGTACCATCCCTGAACTTTTGTGGCTCAAGTGCTATACCAATTGAGCCACAGTTCTACTTCTGGCCTTTTTAGTATTGGAGTTAAGATTCTCGTAGACTTTACTGCCTGTACTGTCTCTGAACTGTGATCCTCAGATCTCAGCCTCCAGGGTAACTACCAGTACCAGTGGTGTGCATCCCTGGTACTTAGCTTATTGTTGGTTGTTGAAACATCTGAAATTAATTTTTGTTGCTACTCTTTTCTACTTGCTCATTGCTTAGTTTTTAGGCGTGAAATGATCCTTTACCTTTATTTTGGTTCTGATGGAACTACTGAACTTCTTTGTCTAGATCTCATTCATTTCCTCATAACAGGTACTCACCTATTCCTGGTTTCTCTCTGAATTCAGGTCCCTTTTGCTGATGCTCTGGATTTGTTTCGAGGGAGAAAGGTGTACTTGGAAGATGGCTTTGCTTATGTGCCATCTAAGGACATTGTGGCCATTGTTCTGAATGAGTTTAGAGCCAAACTATCCAAGGCGTTGGCAGTAAGTTTTCCACTTTATTTGTGTATTCGATGTGTTCATATTTTAAATAACATTTTATTTGTGCTTCTTTTGGGGGGATATGTCAACTTAATTTTCATAGTGACTTTTAGGTTGCTTATGATGTTATACTGTTAATTTTAGAATCACTAGGTTCTTTTCCCCCATCTAATGATGAATGATCAATTTTGTGGGTGACCTCTGTGGATTTCTTTGTGACATCTGTTTTCCTTGAGGCTCGGTTTCTTGTATGCATCTTAATAATCATGTGGCTTTGAGTGGACATGGCCCCTGGTTTTCTGTCCTGAACTAATATTTTGCAGTATAGAAGAATGCCTTCAATTTTTTTTATTATTCTGTTTTACTTATTTATTTTTTGCAGCATCAGAGCCTCACTCACAGTAGAAAAGCAGTCTACCACTGAACTATATCTTCAGTCCTAGAAGGAAGTCTTTAAAGTAGTAAATATGGGGATAAGCTAGTGTTCAATAAACAGCCCAGTGCTGAGTGAAATCAGAGGCAGCTGCATTGAACAGATAATAGAGTTGGTGCATTTTAAGTAGTTTGTTGAAAGCATAACTCTTGAGTTCTGATATCTTAAAGGTATGCGCTGTTTGTATTGTTGTCTTTTAACTTAGTCTAGTTTTTTAAAAGAATACTTCTCTGGGGGAGGGGAAGGGAAATAACAAAATGCAGAAATAAGGATACAGGTTGACCTGTTGTAACAATGAGATGTACAAGACACTATGTTGAAAATGAACTTTACAACTTGGGGAGGAGGAGGGAGGATTAGAGAGGTAAGGAAGGAAGGGATGATAGGGGGAAAACAAAGGAGGAGGTAACAATGCTTGATAGGAAATGTACTCATTACCTTACTCGTGTAACTGTAATCCCTCTGTACAGTATTTCTACAATAAAAAAAAACATTAAAAGTACTTCTCTGTACTTAATGTGGAAGTATAATGAGGCAGCTTTTTAAACCTGTACTGGTTATTGTGTAAGCATATGCCAAGCTTTCTTTTTGAATTAAAAGTTGGAGTATTTTCTGGTGTAAAACTGCTGGAGGTGGAAGTGGCGCTGTGGCTCAAGTGGTAGAGCGCTCGCTCGCCTTGAGCTGAAGAACGTAGGGACAGCGCCCAAGTCCAGAATTCAAGCCCCAAGACCGACCAAAAATAACCAAGAAAAACAAAACAAAAAAACTGCTGGAGGCATGTTGTGATAACACTGAAGCTAGACCTTCACTAAGGAGTGAATCCTTAGTGATGTCAGGTAAGTACTGAGTTTACCCGCTCTGGTGCCTCTGTGACTTCTTACTATATGGGATACGTTTCATACGCTAACTTGTGAACTCATATTTAAGTAGAATTCTGTTTCTGGTAGCAGACAGCATCCTGAGACCTTGCTTGGGATCAGCACTGGCACAGTAAGTGGAGTTGGCCAGCTCACAATGCTGGTCACTCCCGGTCCAGAGAAGTGTGAGCATCAGGCATGCTCTTGCAGTGTTTGCACCCTCTGCATGTGATTTGTCCATCCATCAACTTCTGGTAGCAGAGTGGCTGCCACTGGCTCAGGTTTTATACCCATACAGCTTTCTATCCAATAGCATGCTTTTTTCCCCTCAGAATTTCTTTTCTTTTTTTTTTTTTTTTGGGTCCGGTCGTGGGGCCTGAACTCTGGGCCTGGGCGCTGTCCCTCAGCTCTTCAGCTCAAGGCTAGCACTCTACCACTTGAGCCACAGTACTACTTCCGGCTTTTTTCTTTTTGCTTATGTGATGCTGAGGAGTCGAACCCAGGGCCTCATGCATGCAAGGCAAGCGCTTTACCACTGAGCCACCTTCCCAGCCCCTCAGAATTTCTTTTCTTAATCTTAATATTTATAGTGCTTGGAATGACTCAAGTCACAAGCTGTATTGGTTTCCTAGGACTGCCACAGCAAAGGACCCCAAATGGAGAGACACAGCAAAGAGATATGTTTTCTCATGGTCTGCAGGAGAGATACTCCAAATGCACATGTCAGCATCCGTGCTCCCTCAGAAGGTGCTAGGGGCGGCTCCATCCCCGATGTCCCTTCTAGCTTTTGGTAGTCTCCTGACTTGTGAAAACATGACTCTGTGCCATTTGTACCTGGGGTTCTCTTGTGGGTACCAGATTTCCATGTTCTATAAAGATGTCAGTCACTCTGCTTCCCTTATGTTACTTCATTTTTAACTAAATAGATCTGCAGTGGCCCTGTTTCCCAATGAGGTCACCCTCTGAGGTGAAATTTTGGGGGATGTAATTCCAGCTGTACATGGAAACAGTTGTGGTCAGAAGGATTGCATAGCCTGAGTGTGAAGTCTCCACTGCAAATGCCTGTGACCAGAATACTTCTGAAGAATACTTCTGGAGAACTGTTGAAGTTGGGTGCAAAGGTTAATTGTTATTCTTTTGACGGTGTATCTCTGGAGTATAAGAGGTGTGAATTCTACGTTTTGCTTTGAAGCTTACCATGCAGCATTAGCTCATGTAAATGATAGCTGTGCTGAGAGCGGTGGCTTCATTGCTCAGGTCTGGACTCCAGAGGCCTCCTCGGGTCTCTGCTTCCCTGACCACCTTTGGGGTTTTCTTCTGTCACTCTCAGCAATGGTCAGATTTCTCCTCTTTTGTACGTACCATATGCATCCTATTCCACAATCACTTACCATATTCAGTACTTAAATTTTAAAACCTCAGCCTAGATGGGCTAGGAAATGCCTTAGTTTTATATATTATTTATACTTCATTTAAAAAAAAAAACTGAGCTGTGTTGTTTTCATTGTCTCTTTGAGTTGCACTGAATCACAAATTGTATCCCAGCTGCCTAGTTGTCATGAGGAAATATCAGAGATTCAGTTGCTAGGAAACAGGTGAATACTGAACTACTGTGTGAGGGACACTTGTAATTTCAATTCTTTGATAGATCTACTCTCTTAGAGCAAAAATTTATTTGTATCACCTGTTATTTTTCCAATTTAAAAATTTTACAAAGGAGATGTAGGAGTATAAAAAATGTTCTAGGATTGCTAAAGTGCTGAGTGTAATTTTTTAAACAGTGATCAAGCATTGAAAAGTAGCAATCATGTAGGTGCGTGCATTTGGGCATCTGCTTCAGCCTAATTAGAGAAAGAATAAGAACCAGAGAGAACTCACTCACATACATAGGACACTTAGGAATTTAAGTCAAAGAAAGCACTGTGCTGCTTCAATCAACTTTACAGAAATAGGATTGTGTACCTACTGTATTAAATCACTCACATTTGCTTATTTCCTTACAAAGGCTTTTGTGTCAGCTGTGACCTGGTTTTGCAAGACTCTTGCAGGTTTAGCCTATCACTTAGCTTTGCCTCTTTTTGAGAGGTAGGGAGTAGAGCGTGAGTTTTCTCCTTGTCTACAGTCTGGACTGCCAGATCCTGGCCATTCATCTTCTTTTCCTCTTTTCAATTGGGTGGGTACTATTCACATACTAGTTTCCAATTCCGGATCTTCACATTTCACTGCTTGACTGCTTAATTGCTTATACACATTTAGGAATTTGTCAGGGAGTATAGACTCTGTCTTACAATGAAAGTTTAGACTAGTTTGTTCTAAAAAGAATCAAGTAATAGTAGAACTAAGAATAACTAAATGCACAGTCTTGCTTCCCCTAAAATTTTATAGGCACCTTTTTGTTGTTTTTTTTTTTTTTTGGGTCCATTCGTGGGGCCTGAACTCTGGGCCTGGGCGCTGTCCCTCAGCTTTTCAGCTCAAGGCTAGCGCTCTACCATTTGAGCCACAGCACCACTTCCGGCTGTTTTCTTTTTGCTTATGTGGTGCTGAGGAATTGAACCCTGGGCCTCATGCATGCAAGGCAAGGGCTCTACCACTGAGCCACCTTCCCAGCCCCTTTATAGGCACCTTAAAAGTAGAAGTAATGTTTTATGAGACTCCTGATATGTTATATAGTCTTTTACTAATTTTATATTTGAGGATTTGTTTAAATACAAGGTATTAGGTTATAATATTAGTGTTTTAAGCCTTGCTTTTTTGAAATTTAATTTAATTTTATTGTAAAGGTGATACACAGAGGGATTACAGTTACCTAAGTAAGGTAATGAGTATATTTCTCATTGAACATTGTTATCCCCTCCCTTGTTTTCTCCTATTTCCCTCCCCCAACTCCCTTCCCTCCCAAGTTGTAAAGTTTATTTCCAACACAGTATCTTGTGAGTACGCTGTTGCATTGGTTCACTTTTTTCCTTTGTCTGACCATTTTGTTATTCCCTTTCCCCAAATCAGATAAAAGTGTATTCAGGACATGGGGTACCAAAATATAAAACTGACAACAGGGAATAAACCCAAGGGGAAAAAAGAAAGAAGAAATAACTTCACAACAGTACCTTAAAAAAACCCCACAAAACCTAAAACCTCTTGTTTCCATATCTTGGAGCTCATTTCTATTAGCAAGTAAACTGGTTCAAACACTGGAAAGCAGTATGGAGGTTCTTCAAAAGACTAAATAAACATAGATCTTCCCCATGATCCAACAATCCCACTCCTGGGCATCTACCCAAATGACCACAAACAAGGCTATACTAAAGCTACCAGCACAACCATATTCATTGCAGCACTATTTACCATAGCAAAGATATGCAAACAACCCAGATGCCCTCAGTAGATGAATGGATCAAGAAAATGTGGTGTTTTGTATACACAATGGAATTCTATGTTTCCATCAGAAAGAAAGACATTGCCCTGTTTATAAGGAAATGGAAAGACTTGGGAAAAGTCATTTTAAGTGAAGCAAAGCAGACCCTAAGAAACATAGGCTCCATAGTTTACCTCATTTGCAGTAATTAGTATATGTCTGTACATATGACCACATACAATGATGCTAATTGAAATAAGCCTTGTTTTAAAATAGAAGCTTATCATATGGTTAGGAGAATTTAGAAATAAAATCTTTCAATCAAATAGTCCTTGGTTAAAATTTCATGATTATTCTTTGT